ATATATACATACATACTGCGGATTTAAACTGGTTTTAAACTCCTTTAACTTCCCTACTTCCTGCCAAAGAGCTGAGTTTTGCCCACCAAGCAGTTCTCAAATCCCTTGAGAATGTGCAGTGTTGGGGCACTTTCGAAGCATGTTGTGATGCTTAAACTGGTTTTAACATATGTAGTTTAGATGTGCCTTATCATTGAAAATGTCATTAATGCACTTGTGGAAAGCCTAGGTCATCCCCTAATTTTCAGAATCTAGACTATTATTCTACCCAGAATAGCTGGGTGGAGGAATCCAGCCCCTCTTTTGACCTCTTCCCCCCCCCAAAAAAAAAGTGAAGGGGGAAAGGAGGGGGGGGAAAGAAATCCCGAAGTGTGACTCATCTCTAACATTCAGTGACATGGCAGAGAAAAGAAGAGAAACAAAGCCCTCCATGACAAGCTTGGAAAAATAATTAAGACTCTATTTCCCTTGTTTGCTGAAATCTGCAGCTGGAATGACCTGTGTGGACTTGTTGAACTGCTAAAGGGGATTTGGTTGCTGGGGATGCCTCTTGACTTTGCAGCTCAGATTAAGAACAATCTGCTGTGGGTGATGGATGAGTGAGGGGGAAGTAAAAGGGATGGGGGGGCGAGGTCCTCTCTGAACAGTTGAAAAAGGATTGTGGAATTTGCTTTTCTGCGGGGAAAAATCCACACTCTACGCACTCAGAGGTTTTGTAACAGAGTTTGCTGGCTTCGAGGTTTGGACACACAAGGAGAGAAAGCTGAGATCAGAGCGAATTTGCTGCTTGCAAATTGTTTGGTGAAGGCTGTGGGCGAACATCTGGCTGAGGAGGAGGAGGTCTTAGATGTTGATGTTTCATGCTCCTAGGATCTAATTGTACTCCAAAGGCGGATCTCTGCTTCAAATGGCAGTGGTATGGCTAAGCGAGCAACCCACAGTCCAGGTCTGATGGTGTCAGTGAGCTGGTTTTAATCCCATTTTAATGGTTTTATCCAATTTTAATCAAAGCAATATAAGGAGGTGAGGAGGTTCACTTCTTGTTCCACGTGTGTAGGAAAGAATACTGAGCATTTTGTATGCATTTTGTATATTCTTCTAGGCAGCTTCTGGAAGGTTCTGCCATTCTGCTTCTTCAGATAGATCTTTCGGAAACCTCCCCTCCCCTCCATGATATCTTCTTGTCATCTAAATGGTACAGATTTTTACTCTTGAAGTTATATTATTTTTGTTTCTCTGAATACAGTCAGGAGAATGGATTTTTTGCTTATAGAGTTGTCCGTCCCTGAGGTGGAAAAAAAAAGTTCATATTATTATTGAACAACTCAGGTGGCCACTCATGGCAAGAGTTTATTTAAATCAAAAAGTTGATATTTGTGGACAGTACCTGCAGCTTACTAGATGGAGAACTCCTCTGCTCTTCCTCTGTTCAGAGATTTGTTTTGGAGAAGTTGGGAATACACTGGGCAAATATCACTACACCTGGACAATTATGACAGATGCTAGTGAGATGTAGAGACAAATAGGACTTCTGCTTTTTCACTTGTGAATATCATAACTGTTGCATGTTATTTTTTATTATTCAGGAAAAGAACTGGGTTGGCTTCTGAGAACTGAATAAATCTAATATGCTGTACATTTTGGCCTCTTTTTCTGCTTCTGCTTGGCCTGTTTACTGAAGTCCATCTGATCACATTATAGGGTGGATGGATCTGTCAAAACCATGGGGGAGGCCACATCTTAACTGCTAAAATAGGATGTCATTAGCTCTGTTCCTACTATCCAAATTAAAGAACTTCTGGCCATACACCCACTTACTCATAACTGGTGGAGAAATATTTTGAGTGCACAGATATTACCTTTATTTTGTTGCATGTTTAGCATATGAACGAGCTAGCATCAATGCAATTTATGAAAGAGGTAGCGTAAGATGGCCAAACCTAGGCCACACAGAGGTTTGTAAAATTCTGATTGTTAGCACTGAATTCTGAGGTTGCCACTACCACCACATGTCCTGCCTCTCCTTTTATTTTATTTTATTTATTTATTTTATCTCTTTCACTGTTCAAATTAATAAAAGAGTAAATAGTGGATAGTAAAAGATATGGCCACAACCTGGATTTTGTTTTTGTTTGATAAAGTTTCATCATTTACACTCTTTATTTGTATCAGAGCACTGTACAATTTAAAATTAAAGATATACAGTATATAAAAAATAGGTAGAATTAAAATAGAACTGCTGGGTAGCTCAGTGGTTTAGGCAGCTGGCTATGAAACCAGAGGTTAGGAGTTTGATTCCGCACTGTACCTCCTTGACAAGGGCTGGACTAAGATGATACCAAGATGATAAAAACAAAAATGTTGAGATAATTAGATGATTTTTGACCAGTTGTGGATTGTTTCAGTAGCATTCTCTCAGCCATTTTCTAGATCTTTTGTACGGGTAGCTCAGTGGTTTAGGCAGCTGGCTATGAAACCAGAGGTTAGGAGTTTGATTCCGCACTGTACCTCCTTGACAAGGGCTGGACTAAGATGATACCAAGATGATAAAAACAAAAATGTTGAGATAATTAGATGATTTTTGACCAGTTGTGGATTGTTTCAGTAGCATTCTCTCAGCCATTTGCTAGATCTTTTGTAAACATTATGGGGCATAAATGGCTTGTACACAATGCGAATTGTTTGAATTTCTCCACAGTCACAGAAAATTTGCCCTGTATCCAAGTAGGGCGATTTTAATTGATTAGTCTTTGATCTTACTTTGCTTCAAAGTCTATTAAGTGACTTCCAGATGGTCCAGTAAAAGTCTTGTCCTAGTGAAGGACACTCTTCAGTATTCATCCATTTGGCAAAGTGTGTTGTTTTTATTCTCCATAGGTTTAGCCTAGCCTCTTCTGGTTTAATATTTAGAACTTGAGATATGTGCAGAATACGTTTTCTTGATTTTAGCTATTGTCTGCGGCAGTGGCAGTGAACCTTTTTGGGCTCGCGAGCCCAAACTGGAAAAAAGAAACAAACAAACAAAAAACACCCTAGCGGGTGGTGTGCTGTGACAGCAGCAGAACTGGAAGTGGTGGCAGAAGGGGGAATCCTGGGCACAGAGGTGCCTCGAGACCCCACTCCATATCTACTGCTAGTGACAGCTGCTCCGGATCTGCCTGTCGAAGTGCCAGCACCATGGCTGCAGCCGCATTCTCAGGTTTGGCTGTGCCGGGGGGGGGGCGGGAGTAGCGATTTGATGACTTATGGCTCGCATGCCCACAGAATGGGCTCTGCATGCCAGCTGTGGCATGTGTGTCATAGGTTTGCCATCGCTGGTCTAGGGGCTTGGTGTCCATGAAGTGGGTAGGATTGGTCCTGGATTACTTTATTTCATTCATTTGCTAACACCTCTTGATATAC